AACTTATAGTTTCACCGGTCTTCCGTTCGAAATCCGACATGCTATATCGTCGGTGAAAACAGAACAACGTCCGGTGCGAACAGGATTAGACTAGAACACCTAGAGAACATACCGCCAGTTCTCATTAACTCCCTGGTCCGACTATTCACTGGCTACCTGTCAGAATTCAAGGTTTCCATTCAGTGGAAAACCAGCAAGACCGTGTTATTGTTCAAAAAGCGAGATCTTCACGACATAGGCAGCTATCGCCCATTCTGCCTGCTCTTCGTTACTGCCTATAAACTCTTGCTCAAGCCCTTAACAGGATTGACAGAGCACGGGACGAACGACAGCCATGTGAACAAGCAGGGTTTATAAAAGGAGTTGGTGCCACAGAGCACATCCACACATTTACAAGACTTACTAGAATTTTACGAGAGCTCAAACTACCGCTCTATTTTACTTTCGTCGATTTGAGAACTCCTTTGATTCAGTGGAAACATAGGCTGTTATAAAGGCTCTGGATAACTAGGGCATCCCTACTTGGTAGATAATGGTCCTTCGTAAGCTTTATAAAGATTTCACAACGAAAACATCTCTATTCTACAAAAATATCACCATTGACCTAATCAGAGGGGTTCGACAAGGCGATACAATTTCGCCAAAATTATTCGCTGCCACGCTCCGAAACGTCACGTAAATTAGACTGGGATGATATGGGAGTGAAAATTGACGGTCGACAATTAAACCATCTTCGCTTTCCTCATATACCGTCCTCATAACACCAAGCATCAGCCAAGCCAAACGAATTTTGACCGATTTCGACAACGCGTGTGGAAAGATTGGCCTTCAACTAAATCTGACAAAAACGATGTCCATAAAGAACGGATAGGGTTTGAATGCCCCATTTACGCTCAACGAAACGAACATTTTCGAATGCTCCAATTACGTCTATCTAGGCCGTGAGATCAACATTAAGCACGACCTAGCTCCAGAATTGAGCAGAGAAACGAGCTGCTTGAGGAACGTTTGAGAGCTTCGAGGATGTAGTGAGGAAAACCAAAAACATCCGAATCCGTGTCCACCTTCTCGATCCGACGATTATCAATGCCCTAACGTATTCATCAGAAACCTGATCGCTATGTCAGCAGGATGAAAAATCACTTGACATTATGTAACGCGCAGTTGAAAGATCGATGCTAGAAGTTTCCGTATTTCGAAAATAAGAGAAGGGATCCGATGTTCCGACATATGGCAGAGATCAAAGATCAGAAATGTCGTTCTACACGCCAGAATATCGAAAATTAGGTGGGCCGGGCAAGTGATGCGCTTCAACGCTTCAACGACAGCCGATAGATGAGAGCCGTTTCCGACTGGATTCCTCAGGTTACCAAGCGCTCTACAGGAAGACCACCGACCCATTGGCCAATTTCTTCACGAAAAGCATAGAAGAAAGATATGTTTTCCATCATTATTTGAGCCAACATGTCATGTGGTCTGGTAAGGGCTCTTGTACAGCCCAAGACACGTGTTTCGTCCTTACAGACTCATCAGCCGGGCAAGATAAAGGTATAATTATGATAAAAGTACCAGCCAATGAGCAATCGAGTGCACAACACTTTGTGCTAGGTGAATGTTTCACCTGACATAGAGTGTAAAGCGTACGTCGTCGATAACTATATATAAGGAGTGTGACGCTCCTGAGACAACTGACTATAAAAAGATCGACAGACGACGGGTTCTGCCCGGCTGATGAGTCTGTAAGGACGAAACACGTGTCTCGGGCTGTACAAGAGCCCTTGCCAGACCACATGACATGTTGGCTCAAATAACGATGAAAGGATATATTGAAATTTGACCGTGGTCTAAACAAAGCACTCGAGATGAAGGTATAAAGATATGTTTTTCAGCGAATCCATAGAGCGAGGGGGAACTACTGGTTTGCTCTTGCACGTGATAAGGAAAAATAGAAGAGTTGCCAAGGCTTGCTCGAGTCACTCGACGATCAACGGGATGACAGGTGATGCAGATGATAGTGCGTAAAACTGAAAAGGTGAAACTAAGTAGAACTGGCTCTACCTTAACACTGTAATTCGACAAGAGTTTATCGTTGTGGTTGAATAAAAAACCATTGAGAAGAAATCTTCAAAATGGCTTAGTGTTTACATTGTGGGCATCTTTAGATGCACTAGCACATTTCTGCCTTAAAATTTAAGATGTTATTACCTTTTTGTTTCACATCTACTTTGCCGCTGTCACATCTGTTGTTAACAATTCATACACACGTTCATTGTATGGCGTATATTTATTTACATATGATAACATCCAAATCAACTGTACCCAGATAAACGTTTCAAATCTTACTTGGTAAATATTCCACTAATGGTTCATATTTCTGCATTGTTTGTGAACTTCCTAAGTTGCCTACTTAATTGTGGTCATCATAGATCATCCGTCTTTTCCCAATTAAATTTGCTTAATCCCTATGGGACGGCTATAGAAATCGATGCGCGAAACGCTAAATATGCAATTTCCGCCATTTGCTTAAGGTTTTTTTCCGTCGTTTTCAAAAGGTTTTAGTAGTTCTCGTATTGCTTTGATAGGAAAAGTTTCTCTCTTTTCGCTTATATGATTTCAGTTAAGATAGATGCGTCTTGCATAGAGAAAAACGCGTTGTAGCATCTAGAATAAAAGTTCGCTTCTCATTTGCTTTCGCCTTCATTTTTAGCACACTCATTAATCGCTAAAGGCGCGAAAAGCATATCAGCTTGTAGATAATTTTTGGAGCATCAGAATCTACGTTTTTTTCCAAAAGTACTGTCAATGTGGCGGAGAATCCTAGACTGAGTAACAATATCTCAAACGCAATTGGTCGCTCCACCCCGGCCCCGTTCCCCAGCTCCGTGAGTTGGCCATTAATCCAAGCCGCCGAAAAGGTTGACAGCCGAGTAAAATGTGAAGGCAAGTCACAGAGACGACTTGTTAGCAAGATAATCGCCCGTTCTACCGCATACATCGACAGTGATCTACCGCATTGCACGTTAAAACGGCAGCAACTGTTATTATTTTATTGAGGAATTTTCTACCGCATGAACAGAAACACATCGAATAAAAGCGCGTGATCTTGACACAACGAAAAATTCTGTGCATGTTGACATGCTTTTTGTGCTTCTAGCAATTATACTCGCGGTAAAAATGAAGGCGAATGCGAGTGAAAAATAAATTTTTCCCGGATGCCACAGGTTTACAAAAGGGTGCTCAAAAGAACCGGCAACGTACGGTTGCAGGCATAGACTCAAGCTTTCGAATAAGTACAAATACTCTCATGAAAATTGCCTGTTCAGCGAATGAGATTGTCTTAGAAATTTGTCACCGTTTTTCACACAAGTACCAATTTTTCTTTCACACTCAAGCATTTCTCGCTGGACAGAGGTTATCATTTAGATTTTCAATAACCATTCGATAGCACAAATCTCAACAGTCTCAATGATCGGCTTGGTTTTTTGAGAACGACGTATTATTGCTACAGCTAGAAGACCATTGAGTTTCGCACTCGGGCTACGTGTCGGTTGCGCAGCGCAGTTTACATGTGGCGTCCGGTGCGCGCCTGGTGTAAAGCTCAATGTTCTCTTAGCTGTTACGGCGAGCTTAAAAGTTTTCCTCAAAACTGAGCATATCCTGAAAATTTTAAGTTAAATTTGCCGAGATTTGTGTTATCGAAAAACTGCTGAATTTTTTGAGGAAAAGCGTTGCTCATCGAGAGATGTTTAGGTGTCAAATAGCATATTCATTTCTCTGTTACAGTGCAATACAGAGAACTTTTGAAAAGTGACACATTTTCTAATTTTTCGAGATTTGAGCTGTAGAATAACTTGCTAAAATGTCTACAAAGAACGAAGAATGTTTTTTTTTTCGATATGGGTGCTGACAGGGGAAGTAACGTATCATGCGCAATAATGAACGCGCGCTCTTCCTACACTTAATCGAGTTATATATCAGAGATAGCTCCACATAAATCTTGATTAGAGATGTCTGGTTGTAGAAGATGTGTTTTCAAGCGACGTTCTCGCAAGACAGGCTATCCAACTGCGGAATAGGAGTTGAAAAATTACTTTTGTACTAGGATTTGATATTATCACTGAAAAATATAGTATTTCAAAAGGAGTAGTCACTCTTTGGACCGAAAAATCTTCACAAAAGATTCATTCGTGTTATTTTATTTTTATGTATCTATAAGACACCTCTGAGCTATAAACTTCACCTATAAATAGCAATAAACCACCTATGACGTCCAAGCGGCGGGCTAGCACCTTAGGCGTGAAATGTGATCTTCTTTTCACTCTAACGGCGTTATGTAGCATCCCTTTCAGAAAATAATTTTTTTATCAGAATTTCCGAGATTTGGGCTATTCAATGAATATTTAAACTTTAGGGGAGAGCTATAGAGCGACTCCAGCCGAGCAAGTGGAGAAAACTGAGTGTGAAAAAATTTTATTTTCGCTGTTATACCGTAGTAAAAAGTTTTTCTTTCTGAAGCTAAACAGGTATGTGCATTAGCAGAAAAGTAAGCTTTCGAATGTTTACCAATTGTCTAAAAGAAAACTTTTTTTGTAACAAGAAAGGCCTTCAAGCAATCATGTACCTGAGCTGGTGCAGGTCACCCGTAGGGTTAACACAACAAATCCATTTGGAAAATAAGGTACAGCATATAAAAAACTGTGACTTAAGCTACCGAACAATTATGGAAACATGAAAAAGAAATTTCTAGTTTTTCAACTGCATTTTTCGCAGTGGTTTGATGTTTCGTAAATACTTAAGAATCTGATGGTGAGCAAGCTGCATAACATCATAACACTGCGAAAAATGCGGTTGAAATAGCAGAAATTCGAGCATTAGTTACTAGAATGGCTGTTAGCTCAAGTGGGTTTATAAGGGAAAGTCGCATCCCCGACAAAATCTGTCTAAAGTTGGTGGCTGATAGCTAACATAGGGATGTTGAAGAATGAATGATGATGCAATGTGCCTTGGTGGTGTGATGATATAGCACGCATCCCCGGTAAGAATGAGACGCGGGTTCGATTCCTGGTTGAGACAGTGTTTCTGTTCACCACTCAGTTCTCTTAGGTATTTACGAGACATCAAAAAGGAGCAAAAATACGTTTTTAGAAATGTGTTATTCTTGGATAGGGAAATTGGGAAAAGTACTCCTTTGTTCCACACCCGGCCAATTCAACCATAAATTTGGTACGTCGACCTTTCGTATCAAACTCGGATAAGACGTTGCTGATCTCAGCCCATACAACATGACCAGCTCAACCAATACATTTAATGAATTAGTCTTTCGTATCATGACCGAATACGATATATTAGCTACTTTCTATATCTACTTTAATCAGTTCGACTCAATCATTTAGTGCACAGGTCTTCCGTATCAAACCAGTATACGACATTCTCTATTATCTACTTCTGCAGTTTGGCCAGTTTAGCCCGTCACAGATTTGGTCCAATGGTTAATCCGAGTCGAACTTAACGTAAGACATCGATCAAAGCCATCACTACATCATTCCATTGCACCAACTGATATTCGGCTCATTGGAAAAGTCAATCAGTGCTACGATTCTAATATTCTCCTGAAACAGCCGATTTGAACTCAAGAGAGCAACTAATATTCGACGAATTAAGAGACAACACGGACGACATTACGGCAAGATTCTTCCCTTCAAGCACGTCATTTTCCATATAAGTTATACGAGAAAAATATGTCAAACACCATTTCCTCACGCGTGGAGACATTAACGAAAGCGGTCAATCGCCTGAAATCCTCATTTGACACTTGCGAAAATTAGGTTAGTAATCCAGTAGACAGCCTCCCTGACGAATCCTAACGAGCGGAATACACGCCACACGAAGAAGCTAAAAAACAAGCGATATGGGCTATTTAGAAAACCGAAGCCAAGTGCAGACAGCACTGAATATATTCTGCGAACAACTTCGAGCTGCAAACTCCAGTATCAGTGAAACAGAGGCAATGCATCAAAGTGAGCATAAAAAAAAACACTGTAGCACTTTTACAAGGCATAAGATTACCTCTTTAAGCTTCTAAACCTAGAAAATAAAATAAAATAAAATAAAAAGCACAGAAAGCAACAACGATGACACTTGCGTTGCCCCACCAGTAACAAATTTACCACTATCCTATTATCGATGATGTATGAGATTGGAAAATAATTAGACGAGACATTCGAACACTCTGTCCATTCCAAGCAGATGGGTGATCACTCCAAAATGAAATATCTATCAAATACTCTCCAAAGAAAAATTAGAACGTTCGTTTAGCAATAGGAATTATCACGAGCACCATATTCAATAATAATCGACCATTTAAAGGCTGAGTATGAGAAGGAAACCTCTGGTAAATATACTATTGGAGCGACTACATAGAGTACAAGCGGACAGTAATCGACTAGACGATCAAAAAACCCTGTGCGAAAGTCTCCACTCTGTGGTCATCCATTTACATCATAAAGGAGTACAGGTCGATAACACATATCGGCAACAGCAACTTCTAGAAAAGTTTACCTAAAGAAATTCAGCAGCATAAATGAAGCAGTGTTGTGTCAGATAGATACACAGGACAGTGGGTTCCTCCAAACAATCCGAGAATACATAACCAAAGAACTGAAAAAAACAGGGTCAGTTAGACAAATCTGTTGCGCCGGCGATTAAAAGCAACAACACATCGCATAATCACCCAACCGAGGATGTACATAAACCATCATAAAACAGTCCCAAGTAAACCACGTTCGTGATTTCACTGCAGAAATGTAGAACGCCTATGCACTAACTGTATTACGATAAAAACTCATCAAAAAAGAGTACAGATGTAAAAATCGCAGTCTTCGCTTCAATTGTGGTCCATCATATCACTGCTTACTTGAATGCATGGCAGATTCCTACGGAAAAAATACAGCAAGCACAGAAAAATAAGCTTCCACTTGTAGGCAACAGCAACTACCGTAGCCTCTAGAAGAGGAGAACGATCTAGAGGACAAACCGCCTACATAACCGCAGAACCTCTCAAAGGGAAGGAAGGTAACCCGGTCTACGATCAATACAGTAGCCTCGATACATGGCGACCATTCCATTGCTCTTCACGCAGATCACTTTACACTGCAGGAACAACAGATCACTACATGTCAAGTGATAGGATTACTTAACACTGCAGTAATTGAAGTGAAAACTCCGAAACGTCTAGCACCTAATAAATATCACAAACAGACCTGAATAAAAGCTTTAAATATGCTTTGAGGGTGCACTGAATATTAAGCGAGGTCTTGAAAAATGACGCAATATAAAAGCAAGCATTATCATCAAGATGATGTCCCAAAACTTAGAAGCCTGCGGAGTAATGAGGAAATCATAGAAATTCCACCACCCACAAATATTCTCAAGCGCTACTGAAAACCAAATTCGTCTCATTTCGATATCCGGGAAAATATTGGCTAGACACGCCAAAATTGAATGAAAGTCGATGTTTTTGAGCACATCAAATGAAAGCCAATGCATGGACCGGCTATGGTGCAGTGCTTGTCATTTTGCCTCTGCTACTGTAAAATAACATTGCGTGCTTCAATTGAAGTTTTTCAAAATTCAACACGAACATCAAATTCTTCAATTTATACGAACGCAGTTATTATCGTCTATCCCTAGCCCAAATTTACTGACTGAATCAAAGCAACCTGTTGGAAGCGAAGAGAATCCCACAGCAGATCTTCTCCTCGCTCAGCAATTCAATTTGAGCGACATGGAGTGAGTATTTAGCTATATTTAGCACTCATAAACTTTTCACAGAAAAAATGGTGGTTCAGCAGTATTGCATGTGCTTTCGGTATGACTATCAGGCGTAAAAGAACCACCGCATTTTACTATGCAAACTGACGAAGTGTCGATTACGCAAAGCTTCGAAAAACGTTGTACATATTATACCTTTCCTTCGAGTGCTTTATTAAGACCACGCTCAAATTTCAATAGATCCTTTCATTATTATTTGAGCCAACATGTCATGTGGCCTGGTAAAGGCTCTTGCACAGCCCGAGACACGTGTTTCGTCCTTACAGACTCATCAGGCGGGCAGAACCCGTCGTCTGTCGATCTTAGGTCGTCGATAACTATATATAAGGAGTGTGACGCTCCCGAGAGAACTGACTATGAAAAGATCGGCAGACGACGGGTTCTGCCCGGCTGATGAGTCTGTAAGGACGAAACACGTGTCTCGGGCTGTGCAAGAGCCCTTACCAGACCACATGACATGTTGGCTCAAATAATAATGAAAAGTTGTACGCTCTTCGATTAACAGTGTTATACCACGCACATGGAAACGTAAACGCTTTCTGTAACAAATTTCAATTCCTACTTGTATATTCATGGGTGATAAGTTTTTTAGGATAACACATCCACGCCATCGGCTTCTGAATGTCATCTGTCACCTATGTCACCTGCCGCCCTGTTGATCGTTGAGTGACTTGGGCGGGCACCAGCAACACATCACATTCATTCTTTCATATTGCGCACAAGAGTAGCCTAGTAGGTCCATCTCGCTCTAGGCATTCATCGAGCATCATATCACTCTTTTAGTCTTTTCGCAAAGAAATCGAGCCATCGGGTCGGTGGTCTTTCTGTACAGCGCTTGATATCCCGAGGAATCCAGTCGGTAACGGCTCTCGTCCATCGGTTGCCGTTGAAGTGCATCACGTGTCCAGCTCAGCTTGTTTTCGAGATCCTGCTGTATAGAATAGCGTTTTTGATCTTCGATCGTTGACGTGGGTTGGAACATCGGATGTTTTCTCTCATTTGCCAGATACTGGATACTCGTAGTATCGATCTTTCGACTGTGCGTTCAATGAAGCCAAGTGATCTTTAATCCTGCTTACGCAGCGACCAGGTTTCTGCTTCATACGTCAGGGCAGGGCGAAAAGGTGGGCACGGAGTCGGATGTCTTTGTTCTCTTCACTACATCTTCGATGCTCTTAAACTTTCCCAATCCACTCGTTTTCTCCTGCTCAACTCTGGGGCTAGCTCGTTCATCATGTTAATTTGAAGACCTAGATGGACGTAATTGGAGTATTCGGAGATATCCGCTTCGTTAAGCGTGAATGGGGCACTAATAACCCATCCTTTCCTCATAAACATCGTTTTCGTTAGATTTAGAAAGCCAATCTTTCTGCAAGCGTTGTCAAAATCGGTCAACAATCGCTCCGTTTTGCTGATGCCTGATGTTATGAAGACAATGTCATCAGCGAAGCGAAGATGGTTTAATTGTCGACCGTCAATTTTCATCTGACTATCAATTTTATGTAAAAACCGTTGAGTTCTTTTACTATCTGATGACGGAAGTGCTGAAAAGTCAATGAGCGGTCAGTCATGTGAGCGAACATTCTCTGTGCGTTTGAACTACTGAAATCATAAAATTGGGCTTGTCAATATTTTGCGCTGTTTTATTCCGAATAGCAAGGAATGCTCAATTTCGATTTTCGTTGAATTTCACCGTTGACTAACAATTTTTTGCTCAAATGATGAGCTTTCACAAGACTGTTAGGCAACTTTATTTGACTAGTTCTTTGACAGTTTGCTTCAATCAAAGCCACGATGATTTAAGTCGAGTCTCCACAGTTATTCTTTAGGCAATGTTGGTTTTCACAGCCGTCACATTGACACAAATCGAGTGTTAAAAACAGCGAAAAACAAACGTGTGCCCAGAGTTGCCCTTTCATACCGAATTTCGGCAACGCTAAACTAGTCTAACGCCTACAATCAGTTTATATGAAATAACGCTGTGAAACAATATTGTCCACACAGCCTTTGATGTAATAGTTTTATAGATTCATTTGTGAAAGTTTGCCGACTCAGTGCTTTGTGCTCAGCACATTGTATTTAGGACATAAGGAATACTTAAGCGAAAGTGTTTTATGCTTACCATTTCAGCTAGAACAACAAGGAACTACAACAACACAGAAGTGATTAGTCACGTTAATGCATATTCAGCTCCATTTCCTGCCCATAAAGAGTCGTAACGAAGCTAACGATTCTACTGCACT